TTAAGAAAATTTAATTTTCAGATCAGAGTGAATTGTTCTTTTTAAGCATAATTTTTACTTTTAAGCCAATGGTTTATAAAATCACCCATTCCTATAGGTAACATTGGTAATGGAGTATTAAATAATAATCAAAGCATGGCTTTATGCAGAGAAGAATATTCAGGAAAACATGTAGGAAGGAAGAGACAGCTCCTAAAAATTGCCCTTGTAATCTAAACTAGAAAACTAAAGACAGACTTTCATGAGCCACTTAAAAAATTCCTCATCATGATTTCAGGATATTTCAAGAGATGTTGGAACTGCGGTGAGCTCTTAAGTTTCACTATATGTGTTTATACATGTATGTGTATACATATATGTATGACTATGTTCATATACATGTATGAATGTGTACATATGTGTGTGAATATGTGCACATATGTAATTCATACATGTATGAGTGTGCACATACATGTGTGAGTGTATGTGTGCACTTGTGTATGTACAGATATGTGTGTGTTTGTATACATGAGTGTGTGTGTGTGTGTGTGTGTGTGTGTGTGTGTGTGTGTGTGTGTGTGTATGGCATATGTGCCATGGTTTGAGTGTGAAGGCCAGAGATCAACCTTGGATGTTGAGGTTCACCCTTCACTGTGTTTAAAGCAAGGTCTCCTGTTAACCTCTGTATGTCAGGTGGGCTGACCCAGAGCCTCCAGGGAGTCTGCTGTCTCTACGACCTGCTTTACCATGGGAGTACTGGGACTGTAGATGTGAGATACTGGGTTTGGCTTTGGTTGGGTCCTGGGGCTGCAGACTCAGGCTCTTCAGCTTGTGTGATAATATTTTAACCAACATTTTAACCACCGAGCCATCTCCGTTGATCGGGATTCACTCTTTCCACATTTGGACTGTTAACTGATACTTTTAACATTTTCTTCCTCTCCCTTCCTGAATGGTTAGAAAGCAGAGATGTGTGATTATGGGGCCACTTACTCTTCAGTGTTCCCCTTTAGCCTTCAAGTCTATGAATTCTAAATGCTGTGAAGTAAGTGATTAAGCCGTACTGGGTAATAAAAGTGAAGCTTATAGAAACAGGCTGACTGTGACCCTCTTTTGAAGAGAAGATGGATTAATAAGACAGATTCTGCCACAGGCCCGACTCTCTGGAAACATCTGAAAGCCTTTCCAGAAATCTATAATGACTGATGTGACTCTCGCTGATAGATGTGTGAGTCTCACTGGTAACTGGTTCAAAAGCTAGTGACAAATGTTTTTTGTAATGCTATTTTGGACCCATATATATGTGAGAAAATACACTTTAGAAACAGGAGCATGAAGGACAGAGAATTTTGAATATGATTGTGGGAACAGCAGGGATACAGGTTCAGGCACAAACACACACACACACACACACACACACACACACACTCACACACACGGCTGTGAGAGAGGATTTCTCATCCTTGGGACTGACACTGAGGGGTGGGTGACTCTTGTTCTGGGGGTTAGTCTGTGCTTTGTGGAATATAGCAATGGCCATACCTTCTTCCTACTGAATGCTAGTAATATTCTCCTGGCAGTTATTATAAACCAGAAAATGTCCCCAGGCATTGCAATGAGTCTGCCAGAGATGTTTAATAAAAGAGAAATGATATTATTGTGTATTGCTTCATCTCCACATCCAATTCTGTTGGCTTTTGTATGAGTACCTCTGGCCCTGGACAGAACTGTGAATTAGTCACTGTACTTCACAGACTCACCTTCTCGTGGGTGCCCTAGTAGGGTGATGGGGAGTCTCCTTTCTGCTCTCTCTCAGAATGGACCACATCCTGGCCATTGTAAAAAGTACACTGCCCTGCTCTGTGAAAAATTTGCATGTTGAAATTCTGACACTGAAGGTGCTGATTTTAGATGACAGCACTTTTAGGAAGTTACGAGATCATGAACATGAAGCCCTCTTGAGTAAGATTAGTGACCCCAGATGGGGTTGTATATGCCTTTAGTCTCTGCACTCAGGAAGCTAAGGCAGGATTGTGAGTGTGAGGCCAGCATGGGCTAAATACTGAGACCTTGTCAAACAAGACAGAGACAGAGAGACAGACCTGAGAGCAGCTCCCTGCCCCCACCCCCCACAATGTAAGGATGAAGTCAGGACGTCTATGACAGAAACAGACCCTCAACTGATAATGAATGGACTGATGGCTGGCTGTTGAGCCATTCAGCCTTTGGAACTGTAAAAAATAAAACTTAGGTGTTTATAACTGTCTAGTCTATAGTGCTTAGTTGAGGGAGCCTGCATTAACTGAGAACACTTTAGCCAGCCTGAATTGAATCAGCCAACTTATACCTTTTATCTTGACTTTGACTTAGAACAGAGTTCTGATATGTATTATTCAGTAAACTTTTGCCAAAGAAAAGCCACTGTTTCTATGCAAGAATCATTTTAGGGATCTTTAAGTATCTATGGAGGCAGTAGCCGAAGATTCACCTAGGACTCATGGGTTCCAAATGCAAACTATTTAGGCTAAATGGCAAGGCGAAGGATCTGCAAGTAACAAAGTGTAGAAATGTTTAAGCAGCATGGACTAGAAAATTCGAAGGGGAAGGTCTCCATGGACCCTGCGAACTCAGGTGGCTCAGTGATCTGGGGCTGGAGCGGACCTAATAAGAACAGATGGGAAACTCTGAAACTAATAAACAGCACACAGAAGATAAACAACTGCTCCTTGGCCAAGATTTCAACACTGTGTGAGGGGCAGGCAATATCTCAGAGCATTCCAATTGTTTCTAGACAGGATATGGAGGATTTGCCTGGAGCCAGGTGCTACAGGTAAAATGTGGGCCAAGCCCCAAAGGCACCTTCATTTTCTTATAAAACAAGGGAATGTCCTTTCTTCAGTGCTGATCTTTTTATTGCTGTGTATAAATAAATATATATATATATGTATATGTATGTATGTATGTATATGTATACACACACACACACACACACACACACACACACACACACACACACATATATATATATATATATATATCTCCAGTTAAAGTTGAATCACATCCCCTAAAAGACACACTGGAGACTTTATCCTCCATGCTTCAGAATGTCACCTTTGCTGAGAATAATATCATTGCAGATATAAGTAGTTGAAATGGCGTGTCTATGGTAGGATTGGTCCTTCATCATATATGACTGGTGTCCTGATAAGAAAAGAAACCCAGTAAAAAGATAGCATGTGACAGGCAGGCAGAATGAAGTGCTGTAACCACAATCCAAGAGCATCTGGAAGCCAGGCAGAAGGAAGAAAGATCCCCACAGGTTTCGGAAAGAAGCATGGCCCTCTTCATACCCCTGAGTATGAACTTGTCTTAGGTAGTTTGACATGGTTTGGTTAGTCTGATCTGATCTAGTCTGGTCTATTCTGGTCTGGTCTGGCTTGGTTTGGTTTGGCAATGCTGAGACCTGAACAGCCCAGGGGTCATGCAGACCAAGCAAACGTCCCACTATTACACTCACCTCCAGCCCAGTGCTGGACTGCTCACTCCCAGAACTGAGAGTTAGCAGTTTCTACTGTTTTCAGCCACTCTGGCACGGTAGCTCTGTGGAAACCAAGACCATCTTTCAGGAGTCGCTCACCTGAGTAGCTGTAGTAGAAGCTGTGCCTCTGAGCCCTATGTCCCCTCCATGCAGACTCACGGGTGTCATGATGATGACCTCCTGTGCTGATATTCAAATTCTACCGTACCTGGTAGCTCCTCCCCTGGGATCTGTCACTCTTCCTCCACTGGTCTTAGGCCAGGATAACTAAAAGCTAAGGACCGCATGGACTTTGCTTCCAGAGTGGAAAACAAAGAAAGAACTAAGTTGTTGCACTCTCAGAGGAATCTGTCAGGGTGCTCCTGTCCCCACAGGTCATTCTTTTCATCCTTGTCTCACAGAGCCAGGAGGCATAGCTTGTGTTTTCCCTAGTGAGAGGTCGAGTTCATGGTGTAAATCACCCTCTCTCTTGTCAAATATCCTGGCAGTATCCTTATGCATGCCATGTTATGGATTCCCGGTAAATCGTGATCCTGACAAGGAAACATATCGGTGAGATATGTCCTCCTCATTAATACTGAGTATCTGAAGGCACAACAGCTTAGTTCATTAGATATATCCATGCACATCTGCTCTTTTAAGAGAATCGACTTTAATACACTTAACAGGCCTTGCGTCAGAATGAACTAATGTTGTCAATGCAATGTCATTGGGATGGTGATGCTTCAAGACATGACAGTGGATTATATCACATTCGGATTAAATCGTCACATTCAGCTCTTGGGGTAGTTTTTTGGGGGGATTTTTTTGGTTTGTTTTGTTTGTTTGTTTTTATGTTTTTGTTTTTGTTTTTTTGTTTTGGTTTGGTTTTTATGACCATCTTAGTGACAGTTTACTGCTCCGGGTTCCATCTCATTAAGACCTGGATAATCATGATTTGAATTAAGAACTATTAAATAAAAGAGCCAGAAGAGGCTAAATCTAAATTGCACTATGAATACAGTAAGTGGAGAAGGAAAGACGATGGAAAGAGGAAAAGAATGAAATTAGGTATGGGAACCTAAGCGAGGTGTCTTCCTACCTGGACAGGTGCGATGGTGAGTGAGGCATTCTTTTAAAAATTACAAATTGTATTACCATTATCCCAAAACAGTAAGAAGGAGCGTGTACTACTCCTACCTCACCGTCCAGATAGCCCAAGGGTTTTCATGCTGATCTGGGTGACTTGAGAAGCCATGGTCTTATCACAATGTACAGAGCCTCCTGTGTGTAGACATGGGCAAATCCTTTTTCTTCTTTTAGGGTGAGGAACAAAGTAGCATCATGAGAGCCTTCACCACCCCAGCCCTATGCAAATACCTGGCTTCCCCAGGTCTCCACTGTGGTCAGTACAGCCCTGGGTATTGGTGCTTATAGATGCCTGATTGCCAGTGGGTGCGTGGTCTGGGAGCAGAGGCTGACTGATGTCTGCTTGCCTTTCTAGGAGCCGAGGTGACATACATGAACATGACCGCCTACAACAAAGGCCGGCTGCAGTCATCCTTCTGGATTGTGGACAAACAACATGTGTACATCGGCAGCGCAGGTTTGGACTGGAGATCCCTTGGACAGGTAATCTTCCCACCATATCTAAACTCAACAGCTGTGGCCATCAAAATGTCTGCCTCCAAAGAGTACTCAGATGCCTATGACGTTTGTTTGTTTGTTTAATTTGGGATACCAAGGACTGAATTCAGCCTACTCTCTACCATTGATACACATTCCCAAATCCAGTGTTTCTTATGTTTAACTGTATGGTTTTAAGAGGTTTAATGTGACAAGACAAACCTTTGCTCCAGAGAATCGTTTTACCAGCTAAACAACATAACTGCCATTGGGTCAATGCCTTAGGAACTCAGATGCTACTGTCGTCATCTTCAGAACAAATTACATGTAGGTTGTAGTAACCAGACATGGTTCTTAAGGATGATACCACACCATCAGTGAGACAGGGAAACATGCCAGCTCAACATAGAACAGTGTGATTTAGGACAAAAAGCATGTGAAGTATTTCTGTAGACAGTCTTAAGAGGGAAATATTATCATCTTACTCTTCACAGCTAATTAATGTCAAATATCTTGAAGATCAATTTAGACACTCCTGTAATTTTCATATATTTGTGCTTGCCAGGGCTTATCCATAGAAGATTGTAAAACTATTGTGTTTCCATTTGTCTATAGGAATGGAAGCTCCTAGTCACTGGGTGCCTAGGGCACCTGGCACTCATACTACAGAGCCCACACATGCCCATCCTAGCTGGGTTTTGAGTGAGTGGCACTAAGGGAAGACAGCACCAAGGTGTTAGTAATTCTCTGTGACCCATGGAAAAAGTTGGCATTGTGTGGGATAACTGGAAATGGGAGCTCATATTACTATGGCCTGCTTTGCATAGTAACCATTTGCCTCTCTGATTCCATTCTTTCCTTCGCCTTCTTAAACCACTGCCCTTCCTCCTCACTCTCTCCATCTGTTTCTCATACTTTACAGTGAGGCAGAAAAGCATGCTCAGGTATAGAGCAGGCAGGCATGCTCAGGTATAGAGCAGGCAGGCATGCTCAGGTATAGAACAGGCAGGCATGCTCAGGTATAGAACCAGGCAGGCATGCTCAGGTATAGAACAGGCAGGCATGCTCAGGTATAGAACAGGCAGGCATGCTCGGGTATAGAACAGGCAGGCATGCTTGGGTATAGAACAGGCAGGCATGCTCGGGTATAGAACAGGCAAGCATGCTCGGGTATAGAACAGGCAGGCATGCTCGGGTATAGAACAGATAAGCACTATGCAAACAGCATATCAGCAAACCAGTTGTTTCCCTCAGCACTGACAAGATGGTATATATCTAAAAGAAAGCTTAGCAAGCGTGTTATTGTCACCTTAAAGAATAAGGCAGAACTTCCTCTTGGAATAGTATGACCAAGAGCAAACCCAAGCTGGAATTCTCCACTTCTCTTCCTGTGCCGTCCATCTGTCTGAAGTCCATGGTTACCAGCCTCTCTGTACTTTGTTGTGTGTCTGACCTGTCCCTGTTGCCCATCTGCTGTGCCTGTGTGTTGTACTACTGTGTCTGCTCTGTGTGTCTGTGCACCTGTCTGTATGTCTGTCTGTCGTGTCTATCTGTGTTGCCTGCCCCTCGCAAAGGGCTTTGCTCTGTATTTGTTGAACAGCACAGAAAACAGATGGGAAAGGAATGAGAAATCCTTTACAGAAATCTCTCTAACAGAGTTTTAGAAGGAAAGAAATTACTGTCATCTGTCTACATCTGCATATCGCTTCCAGCATTTATGGTGGATATTTGTTTTGTTTAAGGTCACTTTCAACCCGTTGGCTGTTTTCAGCAAATGATTACTATAACCCATGCAGACACACATACATTATTCTGAGTGGGGGCATGGAAGAGTCTACAACTGAAGATTAATATGCATTTAGCTTAGGCTGTTAAATCTGATTACATGGGAAATCCAAGGCACAGTAAGGCTGATTACATTGTTTTGCTAAAGGCAGGTTAGACTTTACATAAGCTGAATACACAATAGAATAGCAGTTTGCATGCCAGTCTTAAGTGATCTCGAGGCAAACATGGCTGCAAGTCTGGCAAAAGCTCACTCTCCTCCAAGGCAAGAGGGGTTTTCTATCACAACCAAGTTGTTTTTTCTAGTTTCAGTTTTAGAAGACAGGTACAGTCAGGAATCTAGGTTGGACTGTTGTTGCTAATATGACAGTCTCACACCCCAGCTATGGATGGAAACTCTAAGAACTCCCTGGAGAGGAAGACACCACCAAAGAAAACATTGCTTGTTTTATATCTATTCAGGAAATTAAAAAGTGCTGTCTAAAGAACTGAAAATTGTTCTGGGGAGGTTAAAGCAGGAGGCTGTGTGTGCTGATGGGAAGTATTTAAACCATTTGATGTTCCCCATCTGGGCTTTCTTATGGAAATATGTGTTCCTCTGCTGGTTGTAAATTTACTAGCAAGTTAAACTCCTTGTAGATCAGAGATGTGGGCCAAGACAGGAGCAGGTTTCCAAGAGGCTACCACTTACATGCCAGACACTGTGCTGGTGAATATTTTTAAAGATCTTATTTTTATTTTTAATTTTGTGAGTATGTGTGTATGTATGTGTGTCAGTGTGTGTGTGTGTGTGTGTGTGTGTGTGTGTGTGTGTGTGTGTGTGAGTTAGTATATGGAGGTGTCCAGATGAGTGCAGGTGTCCTAAGTCCAGGGACATTGATTCCCCCAGAACTAGAATTACAGACAGTTGTGAGCTGCCAGGAACCACACTTGGGTCCTCTGTAAAAGCATTGTGTGGCCTTAACCACTGAGCTGTCCCTAGTCTCTGTGATTACTTCTTCGTTTGTCATAACAATTTAATGGTAGATATTATCTCTATCTTCCTTTTATGGTAATCTCAGAAAAAATAAAACATAAAGAACGTGTTCCTGCCCTTTCCTCATTCAAAATAATAAAATACACTCTAACCTGGCTAGGATCGCCTCTCACAGTCTTAGATTAAAAGTTATATCAGCCAAATCCACATCATTTATTTCATTCTTAGTGATTTGGAGCATTCCTATCAATCAACCCAAAGTCACACTTTTTTTTTTTTAATCTTGTGGCTGCTAAACAAAACTCTGAAACTTAAACAAATTTTGTTCCTGTGCTCTCAGCCATTGTCCCCATGTTCCACCTGGAGCAAACTGCACTCTTGATAGAGGTGTAGAGGAGACACTATCTAGAAAAGAGGAGGGGGTTTAAGATTCTGTCACGTGAACATTTACTCTCCATGGAGTTTCCCTGCATCAACTGCCACTCACCCAGGACTTCTCTCTCATTTGTGTCTAGTCCTCCCTCCTCCTCTTCTCCACACCTGAGCACAAACGCTGCCTCCTGCCCCGGGCCATCTTTCCCACATCACTCTCAGTTCAGGTGCCATGTTACTGTATGTGAGGAGGCCCAGTAATAAACCACCAAAATGGCTGGTTCATGGTTGGAGGAAGGTTCTCGTTGTGGATAAGAGGAAGAAAGTATCTAAAGGCATTTGGAAGAGTCCAGAGCAGAGAGCAAAAGAAGAGGACTGAACATGGCCAAGGTTATCTGTGAGAAGGGAGGGTAGCGGGAGAGAATAGTGGAGACAACAAGAAAAGAAAACAGTGGGAGTAGCAGGGGTCGGGGGAAAAGCCTTGCCTGTAGAGAAAGCACGAGCTGAGGTTGGAAGGGCCAGGACGCTCCTGTGGAGGCTTTGGAATGTATAACTGGTATTGCAAACAGAAACTGAGGGAACTGGGAGGCAGGCGTGGACTTTGATATGCTGGTAGGTGCCACAGGCATAAGGCAGGGGAAGGCCATGTGTGTCTTCTCAGCCGAGGCAAGGGAAATGACGCCTTTTGGCAAAGAGGAACCTGCTTCAAGAGTTCGCGAGGAACCTTGGCTTTTATCTAACAGCCAGAAATCCTTCTATAGCCCAACTTGAATTGAACCTAGACTGTCATTTCTGGTCCTAAAACCTAACAGCGACTCTACACTATGTCATCTTCAATGAGTGTTCCTCTCAACCATAATACATCTTCCAAGACTCAAGTTCAGCCGATGCCATCAGCTTTTGAAGTTTTCCAGTGAAATCCATAATTATTGCTTGTAATGATCATCTTAAATCTATGCCAAGTCAAGGAAATAATAGAGATGGTCTTCAACTTTCATGCACTGTGAGCTTTGCCTGGCTTCTGTCTAAGCATGTGAAGAACAAAACTCATTCCATTTTCACTGTTCTTTTCCTTGTAAAGAATTCTGCCATCACTTCATTCCACAAAGGAAGAGAGGCTATAGGTCAGCTTGAGGTCATGTGACCTTCCAGGAAATGGTGAAGCTAAAATTCAAGCCTATGCCTTTTAAAACTAAACTTTTCGCTTTTATTTGACCTTGCCCGCCACTCATTTTTAAAAATCAGCTACACTTAGCAAAGAATCTTGTTTAACTCCTCCACTGTTGGTGGGAATGTAAACTTGTACAACCACTGTGGAAAACAATATGGCAGTTTCTCAGAAAATTAGGAATCGAACTACCTCAAGACCCAGCCATCCCACTCTTGGGCATATACCCAAGGAATGCTGATTCATACCATAAAGAT